CTGCGCTGTGCCCCCTGCTCTGTGGCCCCTGCTCTGTGACCCCTGCTCTGTTCTGTGACCCCTGCTCTGTGACCCCTGCTCTGCTCTGTGACCCCTGCTCTGTGACCCCTGCTCTGTTTGTTTTTACTTGTTTTTATTGGAATAAACTGTAATAATGTCCGACCAAAGTGAAGAACGTTTCTGCTCTGGTTTCTAGATTATATGGTTTACAAACTTGAAGCTCAACAGTCTCTGGCCAAGGAGAAGGTGAGTCTTCACTGCTGACGTGTTTGACTTGAAGTCTCTTTTATTTGGTTAATGGTTCATTTATTTTCTGTTTTGTTGTTTTACTTCAACAGCAGGAAACTGGCAGCAAATTGAATTCTTTACAAGTGCAGCACCAGATGTTGAAGGTGTGTGTGTGTGTGTGTGTGTGTGTGAACCAACACAGATCAGCAGCATCTTTGAATCATCTGTCACATCATGTCTTTCCTTCCTCGAGCCACAGAGTTTATGACTGGGGGGGGGCGTGACGGGGGGGTTAGTTGATGAAGAATAATTTATTGACTTGAACCGCAGAATGCAGAGAAAACACCAAAGTGAAAATGCAGAGCGTGTGATGACGGTAGTGGTTTGATTTCCTCCATCAGAACCAGCACGACGACCTGAAGAAACAGTACTACTCCCTGCAGGAGCAGCACCAGGCGGAGGGCGACGACCACGGCCGGCTGCTGGACGATCACAGGCAGCGCTATGAGAAGCTGCAGCAGCTCAAGGAGATGGAGGTCTCTCAGCTGAAAGGTGAACGTCCTCCTCTGTCACCACCCTGTGGCCGTCACCGGTACTGCAGTCTGAATGCAGCGGCTTTATGTGCAAACTTTGGTCCAAAGTTCACTGTGTGGTAAACTGGACCAGTGTTGGTAACACAGCAGGGGAGGCATGTGGATGAGGTCAAAGGTCACCAGAGACAACACGCTGTTCCACGAGGTGTTCTTTTTTAATGTCTTCTGTTTTTATTCTCCTGCAGAAAATGTTTTTAACCTGAGAGAAGAGAACAAACACCTGAGGAAAGCCCACCATGACATTCACGTGCAGCTCCAGGACGTGCAGGTCCGAAACCTCGGCTTTATTGAGAACTTTCAATGACTAATTCATGTTTGGTTGTTTTGTTTTGTGGGTTAAGGAAAATAAAAATAAAAAAAACTAGAAAATATTTTTGTTGCAGAAATACAGAACTTCCACCTCATATGTTGTTATTTCTCTCTCTGTATATATTTAATCTAAAATACTTTAAACAACCACTGTGTCTTTCCAGGTTCAACATCAGGACCTGAAGGCGGTGCACGAACAGCTGTCACTAACACTACAAGACCACAAGAGTGCGCTGGCAGCAGCCCAGGTAGGACGAGAATACAGTGGAGCAGTGGACTGAACCCACGTCTTCCTCCTCCCCTCCCCCCTCTCATCTTTGTGTACAGTTATATTGATTTAAAAACCAAAATTCATCTGCCCCCCCCCACGCCCCCCCCCCCACCCTCTCACCTTCTAATCCGACTGCGTTGTCATCGTCCAGATGCAGGTGGACGAGTACCACCGTCTGAAGGAGTCCCTGGACGCGGCTCCAGGTCCCAGACGGTCTGAGCAGAACCCTCCTCTACATGAACTCCATGCAGCTGCAGGTGCAGCCCCCCACCACCAGGACCAGGCAGCTGGAACAGAGGAGGAGTCACACGTCGTCGCGTCCAACCGTGGAGGTCACCAGGACCAGGTGACGTCGTTGGACACGCTTTTCTCTGAGGACGGGCTTCAAACCCACAGTTTTTCATTTTTTTTCTTTCTCTTCAGAACAACCAACGCTCTGACGTCACGCCCCCCCCCACCGTGTCTCGCCACACCTCGGACAAGGAGGAGGATGACGGAGAAGGAGAGGCAGAGAGGAGGAGGGAGCTGGCCGAGGAGGAGATGGCTCAGGCGGGACAGCCTCAGAAGCTGGAGGAGGACCCTGACCATCCCCAGGACGACCAGCAGGGGGACGAAGAGGAGGAGCACGGGCCGGAACAGGAACAGCCTGACCAGAATGAGGTGGAGCGTCAGCGTCATCAGCAGCAGCAGCGGGTCAGAACTCCTCCGTTCTCTTCACGTCTGTCGTTGATGTCTCCAACAGACAGAACAGCCTTTGTTCTTGGTTCCTTTTCTTGAAGGATGTTCACGTGGAGCCTCGTCCGGACGCACGCTCCGCCTACGAGCAGCAGCAGGAGCAGCAGCGTCTGGAGGCCCAGAGGGCCGAGCAGAGCAGGCAGATTCAGCTGCGCCAGGAGGCCCTGCGGGTCCACAGGGAGAGGGTGCTGAAGGAGCGCGAGCAGAAGATGAAGGAGGCGCAGGAGAGAGAGCTGCAGCAGCACAGGGAGGCCGACAGACGGGAGCAGCTGCTGAGGGAGGAGCACCAAAGGTCAGACACAGCACATCACAACAGTCTGAGTCAGGTGGTCGACTCTGTGACTCTGATTCTGTCTGTGACCCTGACTCTGACTCTGATTCTGTGACTCTGACTCTGTGACTCTGATTCTGTCTGTGACCCTGACTCTGACTCTGATTCTGTGACTCTGACTCTGTGACTCTGTGACTCTGACTCTGACTCTGACTGAATTAAACAGGCATCTCTTTACACCAGAAAACAGGAAATAGATCATTTTTGGAACACCCTTCACCCTGACTTCCTGCTGTCGTTCTCAGGAGGAGGACGGATTACGAGAATATTGACAATGACATCGTCCAAGGAGCAGAGGACGGTCCTGCTGCAGACGGAGGTTGGACCAAGACGACGACCAGGTAGAAGAGAAGAAACAGACCAACTCCTAAACTCTGTCCTGTGTCCACAGAGAGAGATGTTCCTGCAGCACATGAGGAGGAGGAACCTGGAGCAGAGCACAGGCTGCCAACACGTCAGCAGGTGACATCATCGTCTGTCAGCCAATCACCTCACACCTATCACTGACGTCTTTACTCTCTCACTGTCATTTTAGTTGGTTCATTTTCTACGGCCAAAATGGTCCAGTGTTTTCAACCTTGGGGTTGTGACCCCACATGGGGACTCCTGGATTTGAATGTTCTTGGTTACAGCTGGAGTGTTTCTAAAACTCTGGGTCGCGGTCCCAGGGCGGGAGCCTCACGTCTTCTTCAGGCCTCTGCTCTCTTCTCACAGGTGGCCGTCAACGGTGAGCTGAACCCGGAGGACGACCCCAACAACCAGGGGGAGGACGAGTTTGAGGAGGCCGAGGACGAACGTCCTCATCACAAAGTCACGGAGGAGGAGGAGGAGGAGCCGCTGGAGGAGGAGGAAGAGGGCGAGGAACCAGCAGCCCCCGCACAGCATTTAGACACCCACCCTGTCCACGAAGAGCACGCGGTGGAGGAGGAGCTAGTTGTAGGTTTGAGTGATTGAAGTAAACACTGAAACACCAGGAAACACCAGTAACAAACACCTGGAAACACCTGGAAACACCTGGAAACACCAGGAAACACCAGGAAACACCTGTAACAAACACCAGGAAACACTAACCTCTGATGTGTTCCTACTTGGAAGTTTTTTTGGCTGAGGTCACTGGGTCACTGAAGTATAGAATGAAGTACTAAGTGTGTGTGTGTGTGTGTGTGTGTGTGTGTGTGTGTGTGCTGAGGTGGCAGGAAACCCAGATCAGNNCTGTTGGACGACCAGTACCAGGAGGAGGTTGAAGGCGAGGTCAGTGACACCAACGTTCATCACTGCAGCCACAGACAGAACTTCAGGGTTTTTGATGGAATTTGATGGAAAATCCTGTTTTGATTTCCTGGTCTAAGGTCCAGGAGGACTTCCCTGGAGGACGGAGGAGGGCGGGGGAGGGAGAGGGGGAGGAGGGGGAGGAGGAGGATCCATATAATGAGGAAAACGTAGAGCAGGTGAGTTTTACTGCCCTGACATGACCTCGTCCATATAATGGTAGAAGACGAAGCACCAACAGGGGGGGAGGGGGGGCTGAGAAAGTGGGATCCGTTAAATTTGTCCTTTTTCTGTTTCATTCCAGGAAGTTGTAAAAAACCAGGATGGAAACGTGGAGGTTCACAGGAAAGGTCCAGAGAATATGGAGGAGGAGGGGGATGAGGAGGAGGGTGAGGAGGGTGAGGAGGGTGAGGAGGGGGCAGCTGCTCAGGACAAGGGACATCGCAGGGCAGAGATGTAGGACACGCCCAGACTGGAACCTGCTGCACTGCATTCTGGGATTTTATTGCTGCCTCTCTTTTCCTCGATCACAAAGGAATAAAGTGGGCGTTCATTCAGCGTCCAATCACAAACCTTGGAGAAATGTGCTGGGAACTTTGGAGACTCTTCCAAAGCTGTATGTTCTCAGCTGATCAGCTCCCCCTGGTGGAAGCGGACGGAGTTTCTGGGATGTATAATTTTTTGAATTCATTTCACCTGTATCTGATCCACTGTTTTATAATTCATAAGAATGTATTTTTATATCACGTACTGTGTTTTTGTAAAGAAACCAAAATCCAGTTGTAATATTCGCCGTCAGACGTTTCCTGTTAACCCCTCGAGGGTCTGCTGTTTTTGGTTTTTTAAGAACTGAATGGTTTGTTTTGAGTCTGCGCTTCAATGGAAAAACAATCAAACATTTCCTGTTATTTATTGTGTATTCGACCCACACTGAGTGACAATCACGAGGAGGCGTGCCTCTCCAACGCCCCCTCCTGGCCAAACTCCTGTTCTCTCCATGATTCACATCAACATTTCATGGCTGACATTTAAAGGGACAAAGCTGCTACTTCCTGTGAGTTGTTGACAATCTGACATGTGCCTTTCCCTGGGGGGGGGGGGCGCGTCACGACTGAGTCTTCATCAGAGCCAGTCAGTGCGGCCCACTTCCCCCACAAGTCTTTCCTGACGATTTCTGTTTCTGAACTGAGTGTCGTCAAATAAAGAGGATCTGAGGTGAACGCTGACTTCATTTCCTGCTTTTATAAAGGAGAAAACTGTTCATCAATAGGCCCCCGCCCTTCATGTTGAAAACTGCTTCCTTTAAAATGCTGCTGTTGTTGTTTCTCTCTTTTCTTAGTTTATTTTTGTCCCCATTTTTTGTCTAAGACTTTTGTCTTTTGGTGTTTTTACCCAGGGTTCCTCAGTGACATCTGGAGGACTGGTTTCACTGGACCACGTCATCATGTCAACAGCCCCTCCCTCTGCCGTCTCCCTCCTACAGCACACCAAGGTGAGAACAGCTGACTCACAAAATCAACAGGGGGGGGGGGGGTGAGTAAAGGTGAGGCATACTAATGACCAGTGTCTGTCCTCAGCTGACAGCCTCAGTCCAATCACTCTCCTCCTTCTGTCTGAGTCAGACTGCC